ATAGGCATGTATAACTGAATCACTATGCTGTATACCAGAAACTAACACATTGTAAATCAATTATACTTCAATTTAAAAAAAAGAAATATGCTACACTGAAAATCTGAACTCAGTTACCTATAAAATGAAATCATGTTCCCCCAAGGGCATGGAAGGAAAGTGCTGACTAATATCTAACAGCCCCTTATACTGAGAGAGTCTTACTTCTCCGTATCTGTAGGGTTTTCCCAATAAGACAGATTGTCCTAAAACCCAGTAACTTCCCATTGGTCCAGAACCAATCCCAAAGGGACTTTCTCTTGGCTCAAAATCAGTCATTAAGAATGTTGAAGGGAAATGATCTCTGTCTAGAAGCAGGGTACAAGGAAACCAGCAGACAAGTGCCATGATGGCTCAAAAAGGAGTAATTCCGCCCCCAGTCGGAACCCTCCTGGCTGTGGAAGAGTGGGAGAGAACGTGAGACTGAACCAAGGCAGATAGAACCAAGGTTTAAGGTGGCCCCACATTTTAATTTTTTGTTCACTGACAACATAAACATATACAGATATTCATGCATATGTATAGTATTCTCATACTTGGAAACTCCTCCCCAGTTACATACATCAACCACAGAAAGCTAGAACAGCAAAGGTGGCATGCTAAATTCGGTCTGATGATTACCTGGATAGATGGCGCCGTGTGGCTCTCACTACTCAGTTACTTCCCCCTGCCTTTGCCACTCGGTCAGCTTAGCTAAGCCTGGTGGTAGAATACATCGCAGGGATGGTATATAGAGCAGCCTGAGACAGGGGCAGCGGGGAACCTACAGTAACAGAGCCTCCGTGGTGTCTTAGAGTCTGAAACTTACAGATGCAGAACAAAAAGCCAGGAAGAGAGGAAGAACAAGAGAATAAATAAACCCAAGGTAAGTATAGCCTCTTTCATCACTGATTCTTGGCTCCACGTGTAATTATTACATTGTACTAAGTGTGGCGTATACTTTCCACTTTCTTTCATGATCCATCACCCATTCCCCCCATTCTTCTTTCCTAAAGGGAACCGAATTTTGTTCAGGGATCCACCCTTCACTTTCACAGCCCCTGCCTGCCTGTGACAGCTCTGCAGGCAACTGGATGACCCCATTCCTGTTGCCGAGAGGTGGTTACCAGCAGCTTATGGCACTCGCACCAGTTCCTCTTCCATTGCTAGGGCTTGGATTAGGGACTGACTGTGTGACTCACCTTAGACCAGAGTCTTAGTGGGGAGCCTGCTGAGAGCCTTCAGGAAAGTTTTCGTTCTCCTTTAAGAGGGGGCATTCAAGACAGCTATGGTGATGGGCCTTAAAAATACTATGCTACGTGAAATGAGCCAGTCTGCCAAAGATCACACAGTGTATGATTCCATCTATATGAAACATCCAGGTGGCAAAGACATAGAAAGTGGATTAGAGGTTGCCTTAGGCTGGGGTTGGGGATGGTTGGGGAGAAATAGGAAATGACTGCTGGTGGGTATGAGGTTTCTTTTGGAGGAAGATACTTTCTAAAAATTGGTTGTGGTGATGGTCACACAATTCTATGAATATACTAAAACCCACCAGATGATAAGCTTTAAATGAAAGAATTATATGGTTTATGAGGTGTATCTCCATAATGCTGTTTTCAAAAAAGGAAAGCGATGGTCCCACTTTTTCCCTTAGATAGGATCACATGTGTACATAATATACCTGAAACCGTTACAACTGTTGATCAGCCACAGAGGGAACCAGCTCCCAGGCAAAGTCAACCCACAGAGGATGAGAGGGAAGAGATGAAAAGAACCCGGGTCTTTGATCACGTCATCAAGGCGAACAGTTGTACGGTGCCCAGAGTTTGCTCAAACTCAAACATCCTATAACGTTAAATAAATTCCATTATCATCTAAGCCAGTTAGAGTCAGGGTTTTCTGGTCCTTGAAGCCAAGAGCACTGACTTGATAAACTGCAAGCCACACACTCCTAATGGGTAGGAGACACAGTGAGGACAATGTTTTAAAAAAGAGGATGTCGAACTTTTAAGGGGAAAACAGATGAAGATAGACAGCAGAAAGGAACTAGCTGACATCAATAGTGTGGGCAACTTTTTATTGTTCCTAAAATCATTCTCCAACCATTCCTGTGGACCCTGGACTGGGCGTGCTCATTTGCTATAGATAATTAACAATAATATAGAGTCATGTCTTCAGAAAAAATGATATAACACT